CACCAGGCCTTTCTTCCAAAGCACCTCTGGGTAGACTTGAATCTCCAGTCTTTGGTTAGCAGCCAAACCTGTATAATTGACACAACAGAGAGGGGTCCATATATTTTAACTTATAAGCCCCTTTACAGCAGAGGGTCTAGGTTTAAATCTATTCTTACATGAAAGATTTTTCTCTTCTTACTTGCTAGTCAAAAAGGCTTTCAACCAAGTAAACCAACAACAAAGCCTAAAGATAAAACATCCAATAATGTTAATTTCAACACCATATGTTCCTCTCCAGCTTCCCAAGGTCATAACTCCCTACTGAATGATTACAGAGCCTGCTGACATGGTACATGAAAAACTCTTCCACAAAGTCCATACCTCTAATATAAAGGAAGAACTGCTCAGATCCCAGTTAGCCACTACAAAGACTGACAAAGCCCTTGAGCATCTGTGAATCTGCTTTTTCCTTTGCCTCCTCAGAGGAAACAAATCACAAGACTGCTCAGAATAAGAAACCAAAAGGATAGAGCCCAAAAGCAGCCTGGCCTTAGTTCCATGCTGTTTCCAAATAGGGAGCTCCAATACGGTGTTGTTATCACATAGTGACAGGCATAGACAAGAGCTTGCAGGGCTATTTTAAAGGTCTATCCTGGCAGTTGGTTAAGAGAGGATTCTGAGCTCTGAGCTCCTCATAAGCATTTTCTGCCCCCACACTCCATCCACACAGGGGTTAAAAACTAGCCAGCCAGCCCTACTAACACAACCCAATTACAGTCTTTGTGGTTAAATAACCCAGAGGGGATCAACACCTCCAAGCACAGCCAGAACCTGATGAAGAAGAGAGATAAAGGAAGGAAAGAGTGGAAAAAAGAGAGAAGAGAAATAGAGGAGAGAGGGAGAGAGAGAGAGATGAGAGAGAGATAATGGAGTGAGGAACCTCTCCATCCACAACTGCTGGTGGCACTTCAGGAGGAGCTGACCCAGGAAGTTAATTCTACTGAAAAACAGAAGGCAGGAGCTGGGAAGTCCCATGAAAGTGCGGCCTTCAAAGTGGTTGGGATTCTCCATCCTCACTGCAAAAAGGCTGCTGTGATGGCTGGCACTCAGAATCCAGCACTTCCTCCTTCCTCCCTCCCCTCAGATGGGCAGCCTACTGAGGCCATATGGCTGTTCTGACTAAATCAAACACACCTGTCCTTAAGTGCCTACTTCCCTACCCTAGCATAAGAACTCTTGGGAAGTGTTTTAAGGTCATCAGAGGGCTCTGTGACAGCAGTTTTTATCTATTTCTGATAAAACAAATCTTATCCAACCCAACTAAGCACAAGCAATATGCATTTACATATAATATACAGTTACCACACATACATGGATACACATGTTTTTTAAATAGGAAGGCAGGTAGAAATCCAGTTGTAGAAATACAGAAATCTCTGCTTCCCTCATCTGATTCTAACAACCATTTTAACAAGTTATCTTCTATGGATGCTGCTTGCAAATAGAAATGCCACTCTCTCACTCTCTCCCCAGCCAGCCCTGCCCACAGTGAGATTTGTTAATTAACTGGGGACAGAGATGGACACGATTTAGACTGCATCCTTGCATGTGGGGAGCCAGCTCTGCCTGAAGTTTGCTAGAGACTGTAGTTTGACAGTGACATCACTAGGGGATGTAGGAGCTGCAGACCACACAGGGTGATACTGTCAGAGAGGGTTACACCAAAATGACTTGTCTATAAACTTTTTGTACAGTGGTTCAGCGGAAACTTATTTTTTATAAAAATATTCCTGCAGTTAGTTACAATAACAAAAACATTTTTTATAAGGCTAACACTCTATGCTAATTTCTTTTTTGAACCTTCCAATGTGCTCCAGTCAGAGCTGTCATTATTAACCAATTACAATGAAGCTACAAATCACGGGGTTTCATCAAATCACGTGGTTTCATATGCATGAGTTATAAGCTCATGCTTTTGTTTTCATTGCTGCCTGCTGTTTTCATTGCTGCCAGTGTTTGTACATTCATTGATTTTGTCAAATTTCCTTATGTTTTAGCTACAATGTTGTAGGTAAACAATACTGCTGTAGTACTTGTGCTGTATCACTAACTTTTTGAGAATGAAGTAGTAATTAAAGGAAAAGAGGAAAAAATATAAAAAAGACCTCTGCTCAGTTACTAATAATGCTATAACTAACAATGTAATTCAGTGTAGAAAGATTTTACAAAACAATTTTGTTCTTAGCATTCATATAATCTAAGACTATTACTTTAAGCAATTTACAACTAGATCACAAATATTATTCTATGACTAAAGTTTATAATAAACATTTCTGAGGATTATGTCTAGTATGAGAGGAGGCTGGGGTGGTGGTGACACAACAAAGTACTGCACTGGGTGACACCAACCCTAGTGATGCCACTGCACTCTGATAAACCCATCAAGCTGAACCTTCTGAGTGCTCACCATCAAAATGGCTGGATGCAGTACCTGGCCTCTTTGTAAAACCATCCCTCCCTCCCCACTGCTGGGCCCCAGGAAGTCCTCTTTCCATGCTCCACTTCTGCATCTATTTTCAGCCTGTAAATCATATTCCCTTATTTCAGGGCCATTTGAATTCATGCTTAACAAGCCACCAACCTGACCTCCCCAGCCCCGCCCTCAATTTCCCTCAGGGAGAAGGTAGTGTAAAGAGCAAAGGAAATTCTAAATTAGATCTGGATTTAAAAAGCAAGCTCCCACTCAGAACAGGAAATCAAAATCAGGCACAAACACCATCAAGTAGCCACTTGTTCTGTAGTTCAAGGACTTGACTGTGATTCTTAGGTCCTGGTGTGCACTTGGTGAGCTTCCAAAGGAAGGCAAATTTGAACCTAGCATCAAATGACACACGATATTGCCTTCAAGACTGTTAAGTGCTGCAGTGGCTAGATTAAATGGTTCTGCTGTAAAATTTCTAACAGGCTAATATATATAATGCTGCTTTAATTCATTTCAGCATGCTCCCTTGCCTCACACTATCACTTGCATACATCTTACTTACAACTAGGTTACATCTAACACAATTTCCCTATCACTCCCTGAACTTGATGCATTCTTCCAGGTGGTCCCGAAGCATGTATCTCAAGTACGCCAAGATCTAAAACTAGATCACAGACATGCATCACAGTAAGTCTGATGAACCAGGGCTCTGGGCTGGCACTTCATAAATAGCTGCCTAGGACAGGAAATCCTCAACATTCTGAAAAATGTAGGGCAGTATTAAAGGATTATACAAAGGGATATGATTTTGAAAATTCCCAAACTCTTAAACAAATAAAGTCTCAGTGCAAACATGCTTTTAAATTGGCCCATCCTCAAAGCAATGCACAGCTAAAGTGGGGTTTGCAAGTCCAGATGCAGCTAAGGGCACAAACACTGCAGACTGCCCAAGGTCTGCAAACCACTCCCTTGTGAAAGTCGAGCCAGCCCTCAGAACAAGCCCAGTGCAGATCACCAGTATGATCTCTAGAAACATGCCCAGGTAGGAGTCAGAGGTCCCTTGCCATACCCTCTTGTGTTCCCTATTGCTAACTGGTGGAACAATAATCTAAGAGAGCCACGGGTGAAATCACATCATGCTGGTGTCTGGTGGCCACTCCCTGGCCCTCATCAGCACTGACTGCACACACTCCTACCAGATGATATAGTGTGGGGAACCTGCCACCAAAGACCATGACAAAGAACAAAGCAGAGAAGGCTGGGTTCTTCCTCTCATGGAGAGCAATGACATGTTCATGTTAAACCAGGGCTTTGTACTGGTTCTTCCTGGTTCAGTTGTGGCCCATGAAGCAAAACCAGAACAGACTTGAATTAGTAAAATATGGGTAAACAGGAATAATAACTGAAATGGGAAAAATTACACGTTGACACTCTGCTAGAAATTTAATCTCCCTCTTAGAAAACAAGGGCAGCATTTGTGTTACATAGCAACCAAACCTCTTGAACAGCAGAGTTGAAATCAGCAGTGTCCCGCTCAAAGATGGCAGCCACCATGCTGCTTTAAATGCGTATCTCTCTCCACAGCTGTGGCACATCAGGCTCCTGAAAGGACTCACTATGCTTTTTCCAAGTCTCCAATTCCAGGGCTTCAACTTGCAATTTTTCCTGATCTAGCTGTCATCTCACTTCACCCAAATTTTTAAAATTCAGGTCTATTCTGATATTGCTGCGTAGGCCTTATTGAACCAGTTCCAACTAGTTCAAAGCCCTGTGTTAAACCCAACTCCAGGAAAAGGAGGCAGTGAAGAAGACCTCCAACGGCCAGAGTGTGACTCCTGTTACTTTCTCCAAATATCAGGGGTGTATCCATAGCAATAATGATGTGCAGAACACACAAGAAAGTACCACCTGAAGGAAGAGCATGCACCCTAACGCTACCAAGCTGGTTCCTTCACTCTTCCCTTACTTAACTCTTAACAAGAGATTCTGAATCCAACGGACAGGCAAAGATTTTCACATTAGCTGAAGAAAAGGAGATTGAATAAAGATATTACGAGTGGCCCCTGAGATGGTCGCTGGATCGTGCTTTAGGGGCTACACACCCCACCCCAAGCCATGGTAGCACTGCTCCGGTCCATCAGTGCAAAACACTTCCCTTCAAAGTCAAGCCAGGTTTTCAGGGCCTTGGGCAGTAGGAAAGACAAACTTTACTCCCTCCCAAGGTGCGACCTTACAGGTGTGACCTCACAAGTATGACTTGTTTCTGGTGCAGGTCGCAGAGTCAAGCCCATAAGCGACGGAAGGACCTCCCACGCCCCTTCCATTGGCTTCTGCCACACTGCTTCCCCGACTGGAAATTCGGACTTCCACTGCAAGCAGGTTCTGACTCATATTTTACATACCCTCTCCCTCAGCCTCATCTGTTCCCTTAAACGCATAGCTACCCACGCCAAGTCAGCCTGCCGAACATCTAGCATCAGCGCACAGCAGAGATGCAGTCCCTGCAGCCCAGCCCGGGGTCCCCGCGTGCCCTTACCGCCACTCTCTTCGCAGCGCGGGGTTGCGGGATCCCGCAGCGCCGGGCTCCAGCCCCCGCTGTCCTCGTCGTCTTGCAACTCTGCCTCCGGGGCCCGGTGAGGTGGCGGGCGCTGCGCGGCGGCCGAGGTGGGCGCGGGGCCGGTCGTCTCGTCCTCGTCGTCCGAGGAGGCGGCGGAGGAGGAGTGCGAGTCGGCCGAAGTGCTATAGAATGGGTTACCGCTGCTGTCCGGGCCGGACTCGCCAAACACGTCGTCCGAGATCTGCAGGCTCTCGTAGCGCGAGCGCGCCGCTTCTAGCAGCGCCAGAGCCTTCCGACGCGGGCCGCTGCCGCCCTCCGCCATCATCATCACCGCCGCTGCCGGCCCGCGCTCCACCGCCTGCAGTCCTTCGGCGCCGGCCGCCCTTGCGCCCTGGCCTGCGCCACGCGCCGCTCCCCACCAGCGCAG